CGAGAACACGAGGGCAGGCAGGCAGCACGGCCACTTGTTAGTTGGTTAACTGTTATTGGCATTTTTCAAAGTTCCCTTCCCGGGTGTGTAAAATGGGGATACACTTCGGAGTTCACAATCATGAGACAGAAATGAGCCCTTGTTGTAGTACCTGATACATGATGAGCAGTAAAAAAAATGGGTAGCTATGTGTTTACATGTATGTTCTGTAGCTTATCCCCCAAAAGGCACATTTTTAATGAGAGCAAAGAAGCAATTTGTCAGACACTTGCTTAAAATAATTCATTGATAATCAAGGTGAGACATGATATTCTCAAATATTTATGATTAATGAGTGAAGTTGAATTGATAGTCTCTCAGCAGCTAAGTGGAATATACAAAATGTAAATATCTGCTACATTTCAAGTCTGTGTTTCAATTTTCCAAATATCGCTCTTTCTATTTCCTCAGCTTCCATGCTTAATCTCGTCATTGAAATACAAAGATAGGTACTCTTGTATTGCTTGGGGCTGGAATACTTAACTCTTCCAGGAAAAAAAAAATGTGTCCTGGATTGGGATACACATCTTCTCTACATTTTTGTTCATAAAGTGGAAATAGTGACCCCCATGCCATAATGCTACTGTGAGATTTAAAACAAGACTCTGCATTGGAAAGAATTGCTCGGTATTGGAAACTCTATAAATAGCAAGCTATAGTATAATAAAAAGGGAAACCATTTAAAATCCCTACTTAGTTATGTTTTTTTAATGCCAGGCAGTCAATTCTGGCCCATAGCAACCCTGTCAGGCACTGGCAGGTGTGCACCTCGACAGGAGCCCGCCTCATCCTTCTCCCCGCTGTGGAGCACAGCTCCTGGGCGTCACTGAAGGAGGGCCGTTTGTCAATACAAACTCATACTCCAAACCCACCCAACCCGCTCCAGGGAGCTGCCGCAGCCTCATGGGCTCAATAATAATTATTATTATGTTGGTTGATAGGCTTTATGTTATTTTTCAATGTGAGATGTGTGAGCTGGAGCCTGCGAGGAGGAAGCTGACCCCAGACTTCTTCAAACATACATTCCCCACCCCCGCCCCACCAATTCTTGTGTCCAGGGACACAGGATCACAGGCATGACTTTGTAGGAGGATTGTTGGTAATAGTTCATGTCCTAAATACAACTTGACCTAGAGTAGAGGAAAGTTTGTTTTTATGTTTATCTTCTGTAGGTACGAAAACCTTGGTAGTTCATGGACAGAATGAATGTGATATTCCAACCCAATTGCCTGTCCATGAAGACACTCAGTTTGAAGCCCTGTTGAAGGTAAGAATGACTTTTGGCGGAAAATGTCTTTTTCAATGCACGATGCTTATAGCTACTTCATCAAACTCTATGACATATAAAAATGCCTAGTTTCTAGGAAACTCTCCTCCCTTCTCACTGATTTTCTCTCCGAGAGGCACAGGAACTGTGGAGGAGAAGAAAAAAGAGTTCTATCCCTTGTGTTTCCACCATGTCCTCTGTGTAAGAGCCCATACTGCTTGTCTGATCAGGAGAAGCAAAGAAAGAGAGAAAAAAATGGGCCTGGGAGCTCTGGGCTGCTGTGGCTGAGTGAACCCTCCTTGCTCGCTGCCTCGCAGGTGGGATTGATCATGTACTTCGTGCGGACCCCCTGTGAGTGGGGGATGGATGCCATCTCAGCCACTCTGACTTTCCTCTGGGAAGTGGTGGGCTACGTGGAAGGCCTCTTCTTCAAAGACCTGAAGCAGACGATGAAGAAGGAGCAGTGTGAGGCCAAGCTCCTTGTGACAGCTTCCATGCCAGGTAATCCACTACCGCTTTGGGATGACAAGATAACTTTATTTTATATATACATATGTGTGTGCATGTGTGTGTGTATGAATACCCTTTATGAAGGCCAAGGGCCTCTTTCATTCATGAGAAAAACTTTTAGCGCTCTGGCCCCCTACTCTGGAGTGCTTCAAAGAATTTTTGTTTCGTA